ATCACTGTAATTCCTTCTTCAAACTTTATAAAACCATAATCTTCCATTTAGTTAAAAGGCATCCACTTACTTCATATTCACTATCTCGTAACTAATCTTAACATTCTAGCTTAAATTCATGTTCCATAAATCTTTTAACTATAGCCTCCAACAACTTCAGAATCACGACCAAAACCCACAACATAGGATAATTTAGAGAACCAAAAATTTTTTACTTCAACAATCCACGTATAAAATGCCACATTGATTTTGTTCAATAATTCGCCATTATTATTGTGTGTGTGAGTTTGTATATAAATAAAAATATCCATATTTCTCCAAATTTCAATATAGAAAAATAAATAACTCTTCCACTGTAAATTATTCAATGCTGTCACCAATAATTTCCATTCCTCAATTCCATAAAGTTCCATTCAAGGACATTTCATCCGGCACTTTGCAATTTCCATGCACCCCAAGACTAACATAAGAATAAACAAATTTAATCACTGAAATTTCCCAATAATATTCTTTCCAACATTACGAAGTTATAAAGTTTCCAAATTTTATTTTTGGCAAGATTTAAACAATAGTCAACCCAAAATAAAATCTAAATTTTTATCCAACATCAAAACTCCACCTATATAATATAGCAGGTCCCAAACCTAGATAATCGAGATGGGTTGTGTTAGGCTCTCAACAACAGCCAACGTAAAAATCTGTCGAATCTTGTAAACCTGAATCAAAACATTATGTAGAAACACGTCCATAAAAGCCTCTTTCTTTTCAAACGTTTTATCAAAGGCCCATTGTGCAGTCAATCTGACAAACTTCAAAATATTTCTCTTAAAATCACAGCCCCAGACTTCATACATTCAAACTATAAATCCAATTCCATATAATCACCAAACCTTGCAACAGAAACCAAGCACCAATTGGAAGAAAACCACAATTTCCCAATCCACATACACGACGGAACCGGGGGGGAGCGGGACGCAACAGTCCGCACCAAACATATATGGCAGCATTCTTGGGGGAAAAAACACAGAGATTTGAACATACCCCGAAGAAAGGAACACGGCAGCGTCGAGAAACAGGAAGAAGAAGAGAAGCTCGAGATCCCACACAACGCTCCGCAACAGCGGCGAAACAGAAATCAGCAACGAGGAAGAAGGAAAGGAGAAGATTAGGTGCGAACACTCCCTCAACAATGGCAGAAGAGCAGTGAGGAATGAAGGGCTTTGCTTTTCGAATTCCCCGTTTTGCAGATGAAGCTCTAAAGCTCCGCGGTCGAGACTCGACACTGTCAGGACTCACTGCTCTGCACCAACAAGGGATGCTTCACCAGACACCCGGCTCAAAAATACGCCTTTCCTTTAACCCAAAAAAAATTCTCATCTATCAAAATAAATTTAATTCTTAAATATGATATATATTTTATTTTGTTTTCTTTAATTTACTCTTTAGTCCTAAAAACCATTCTTTTTTTTTTGCCATTAAAAGCATAATATTTTTTAAAGGTATTGTTAGAACTTGAACTAAATTAGATTTAATAACTTACTTAAATCACGTTTATTTGAGTTTCTAAGTCTAAAATTTAACATATGACAATTTTAACTATTTTAGATATTTAGTATTATTAAGAAATGTTTAATTTTAATTTACTTGTTATTTTCTATCATTAATTATTGATTTTCATTTAATTTTATAATTTTAGAATAATCTATTATTGATTTCTATTTATTTTTAGGGTTAGATTTAAACTTGCAAATAATATATAAACATATATGCTTTCTCCATTTTATAATTTGATTAAATAGTAGACTGCATAAAACAACCAACAAAAAAAAGTCCCTGATGCAAGAAAGAAGGGAGAAAAGATGTAAAAGAAGAGAGAGAAGGAGAGACAAAAAGAGAGGAGACTAGAAAATATCAATTCTTATTCAATCATTAAATGAAAACCCTAACCTTATTTTATAAAATTTCTAGAAATATAAAATAATAATAAAATCCCAAAACAAATCCTAATCATAATTAAAGAGATAATTACAAAATATTAAAGGATAATTAGTGTAATAAATCCTGATTTTAATATATAAATATTCTTATTCAGATCCCTAATGGATATCATTATTAATCTAATTAAATCCTAATTATTTCTTATCCCATACTCTATCAGTCCTACTTACACCAATCACTCCATGCATGGTTCAAAGCATAACTTCTACAAAAATACATATGTGAGAATCATTATTTGACCAAGAGTGAAAATGTAATAACAAGAGAAGAACCATGCTCAACAAAAAAAATGCGTATGTTATAATATTCAGCCACTGAATAAATTTAAAAACATAAAAAAAATACTTTACAATTCTTAATATAAAACCTAGTTGACTAATTTGAAAAGATTAAAAAATTATTTAATTAATCTTTCTAAAAGACTTATGTAGATTATTAAATTATATATCAATTTATAAATAAGATAAATTAGTTTTAAAAAAATATTATACATAAATAATTTAAAGTATTTTAGTAACTTCTTTACTTTTTTTCAAATTAGCTAACTTGATCATGGAAGGAGAGATGGTATAAAAGATTTAATTTGGACACCGTCAAGTAGCTATTCCAACTGTTCGCATTGCTTGGAGGGGGCTAGACTCGTCCATTATCAAACTCGTCGTCTGGATTCGTCGATGACCTTATCATCACTGTTGTCGCCATCTATCAACATCTTCTTTACACACTACACGCCTTTGAAAGTTTGAATTCTCCCGCATGAAAAAAACCATTTGAAGTGGTCGTACCACAAGCAATGAGGAGGAAAAACAAATGTAGATGATACATAGTTGATGACGACATCTCGACTGCATATAAGTGCCACAGAAACGGTAAGAATCTGGATATTCATTTCAAGAGCACCATAACGTTTCGCACAACCATCCAAATTATTTTCTAGCACTAAGCAAACGGCTATGCCCCACCATTCACTACTTGAGTTGCAAGAATCAGGCTTGTTTGCTATGAATGACACATTTCTTGGCTCAAAAGAGAAAAATGAGGAATCTTTCGCACAAAAATAGCTTTGATTGTAAAACCATGATGGCACTTCGCTACCAGAAACAGTTAAATATGCGAGTAGGTTGCATGAAGAAATGATCCTGTGATGAAAAATTATTCATGTTAGACGTATAATAATGGGATAAGGTGCTTAAATATGCGAAGGTAATATATTAATATCAATCACTCCAATTTTTTTTTTCCATCAAATTATCCCAAGTTATGATATTCCGAAATAGTCCTTGGGAAAACTAGAGGCAGCGGGGAGCCAGGGCCAAACGTGTGAAGCAAGGCAGCAACAATTTTCCTTCTCTTTGTTTCTTATTTTGATGACTATTATATTTCTTTTATCCATGGGCCATGGCTTCTCTCTCTCTCACTCCACTCTTCTTCTACTCTCTTCTCTCAGCACATCTTCCTCCTCCTCCATCCACTGTTCCTGTTCTTCCACATCCTCCCAGTCTCTTCGTTCCAAATTCCAATTGTCCTCACTGCCTCCATTCCTCTCTAAGAGCAGACCCAAGAAGAAAACAACGCGCCCTGAAGGGTTTCTGACGATCATCAATCCCATTTTGCTGTTCAACGGTGTGAGTAGTTCCACTTTTAATTTCGATGCCCAGACCCTTCTCGCCACTGTTAGTGTTCTCTCTGCAATTGCTCTCTCCTTGTTTCTTGGTATTAAGGTAACAACTTTTGTGTTTCCTTCCTGTTTCTTCCATTTTGGTTTCTATCACTCGGGTGCTCAGTTCTGTCTCATTCTTACGGAGTTTCAAATTGAAACTGAATCAGATTTTGGGTTGTGTAATGAAGTTATACAGAAGATTCTCTTACGGCCCATTTACTTTGAGCTCATGTCTGGTGTTGCAAAATGGGATTTTACACTTCTTCTAGAATTGCAAAATGGGATTTTTTCCCCCCTCTTTCAATATCTCGTTTAGAAAATTTGCTTAAGCTACATGCATTGCACCCATTGATGCATTCAATATTGCTTCCATTTTTACAAGGGGATCCTGTGCCTTGCGAGCGTTGTGGCAGCTAGGGTAATGATCTTTCTATATCTCGACTTCAGATTGTTGGGCATTTTCTGCTTTCAAATGTTGTACAAATTTTACAACATTCTGCGCCAAACATATATGGCAGAATTCTGAGAGAGAAAAAACACAGGAAGGAAAAGAGATCTGAACATCCCCTGAAGAAAGGAACACGGCAGTGTCGCGAATCAAAAGGGCATATAGGTAATTTTATAATATTTTCAAAATGCCAATTCATGCCTCATTTCATTCTGTGTCATTTTTAAGCCTTAGCCGTTTGAATTGGAATTTTATATATTCAATTTTTTTTTTTACAGATTTTCCCGTGTACTAGATGATAACCTGAAAATTTAACTTTTAAATATGACCTATTTCATTTTTATTTAATCTACTGTTTAGTCGGTTAGTCCTGTGAAGTACGAATGATTTTATTTTTCATGGTATTGTTAGAATTCCTGTTAAATTAGGTTTAGTAGCCCACTGAAATCAAGTTTATTCTTGAGCTTCTAAACCCAAAATTCACAATATGACAATTTTTAACTATTTCAGAGATGTTTAGCACTATTAAGGAATACTTAATTTTAATTTTAATTTAATTGTTATCTTTTATTATTAATTGTTGTTTGCATATAATTTTAAAATTTAAAAATATTCTGTTATTAATTTTTAGGATTAGATTGAAACCTATAAACAATATCTGAACACCTATGGTTTGTCCGTCTTATAATTTGATTAAATAGTAGACTGGCATAACTTCTCGTTTTTTTTTTCTCCGCCGACTTTACAATACATGCATGAGAATTATAATTTGACAAGAGTGAAAACAATGCACAACAAAAAGGAAGGTGCATATGTCAATTTCAGCCACTAAATAAAATGTAATAACATGAAAAATAAATATGCATAAAAGATTTAATTTGTAGCAAGCGCATGCCTCCGTTTTGTTTGAGCTCAATGTCAAGTGGTTGTTCCAACTTTTCTCATTGCTTGGAAGGGCTGGGCACTCCATCATCAAACTCATCATCTAGATTCATCAATGAACTTATCATCAGTAGTGCTGACACTACAGCCTTCGTCACTGCTTGTGTTTCGCCATCTCTCAACATCTTCTTTACACAACACGCGCCACCCACACTGCACTATTTTCAAACGTGACTCCTCTGGTTCATCCGCTATGAAAAAAACCATTTGAAGTGGTTTTTCCACAATAAATGAGGAAAAACGAATGTAAATGATAGATAGTTGGTGGCGAAATCTGGACTGCGCACAAGTGGCGTAAAGACGGAATGAATTTGGATATTCACCTTCAGAAACTCTATAAGTCCAACCAAGTACGGCAAAATCATCATAGTTTGCATGTTCCGAATCATTTTCTAGCACTAGGCATACAGCTATGCCCCACCATTCACTTGAACAGCATGAATCAGGCTTATTTACTATGAATGACACATTTGTTGGAGTATCCTCAAATGAGAGATCTTTCGCACAAAAATAGCTTTGATTGTGAAACCATGATGGCACTTCACTACCAGGAATAGTTAATATGCGAGTCGGTTGCAGGAAGAAGTCATCCTGTGATGAAAATTATTCATGTTAGATGTATAATAATTAATGTGTAAGAAATAGTCACATAAGAAAATCAAATAAATTAGAAATTCAAGAGATTCAAATAACTCACAACTTGTGACTCGTTCCGTCTCACAAATGCAGACGTCATGTCACTGAAAGTGTAAACTTTATATCCGTCTACTGATGAGAATTCATATCGGCGTGAAGTCTATAACAACAAAATTTGGGATGTTATGGAATTATAATGACTGATGTGAAACAAATGATAGTGAAGAGAACTACAACAAACCTGATATTCAAATTCCTCAGTGAATTCCCATAGTTGCTGTGAACACACATAATTTTTCAATAATGGACAATCACCAGCATGTATCACTGACAGGTTTGCTGGAAGTTGAGGCAAAGACCGAAGCCTTGGGCAATCCTTCAAATAAATAAATTCAAGCTTTCGAAGTTTGGAAATGAACCTCAAAGGAATTTCAACAAAATTATTTCCAGCCAAACCTAATGCTGTCAATGATGATAAATTGCCTATTTCACTGGATAGTGATTCATCATCAAGATTGCAACCATTTAAATGTAACTCGACCAAAGATGATAGATTTGAAAAAGATGGAGACCACAAAAACTTAGTTGAACTTGAAGGCCTTTGAAGTCTAAATGCCCGCTTGAGAAGAGAGTAGTGATTCCATGAGGATGATTGTGCAGAAGAATTGCATGCACTAAGAGATAATACTTTCAAATTATTGAGGGACGAAGGCACTTCTTTTAGAGCAGTCCCACCCACATCAAGCTCCTCCAATGCCTCATTTTCATTCAAATTCTCTGGAAGCCTTGACAACTTTGAGCAGCCACGAATATTGATCTTCTTTATAGCTTTCAATTTTTTAAAATCACTTGGAAGACATACCAGGCTTTTGCAATACTTTAAATTCAATATAACAAGACCAGTCAAATTGACCAATGATTGAGGTAGTTTGGATATAGCAGTCCCTTTTAGATTAAGCTTTGATAAACATGTCATACCTTTTCCAAACTCAGGAAGCCTCTTAACTTTTGAACAACCAGAGAGAATAAATGTCTCTAAGCAATTCATCTCCAATTTGGTTGGAAGGTTTTTAATACTTTTACAACCTTTAAAATTAACAATGACAAGATTCTTGTGTTGCCCGAAAGAGCAGTGAACTTCAACAAGCTTTGTACACCCCTTAAGAATTAATCTTTGAAGATTAGGAGTTCTATCAAAGTTTGATGTTCTCATCAGGTTTGTTGAATGACTCAAATCAATGAACTTTAGACTTTGTGGAAACTGCAAAGAACCAAAAAAAAAAAAAAGCCTTCAAAAACCAAGAACTAGCAAGTGATACGCATGCAATAAATCATAGACAAATAAATTTAAGCAAAGGACCTTAATTACCTGATCTCCCCTCCAAAGTTCCTTTAATTTGCTGTGTTGCATTTTGAGATCAACAAGTTCATCAAATTGAGTTTGACCTGGAAGGGAATCTAAAGGATACTCCTTCCAATCTATGACTTTCAGTGAATTGGGGAGACAGTTAAGTCCATGAAGAAGATTCAATTGGTCATGTGAAGAATGTGATATGATAAGTAACTTGAGATTACTCATATTTGAGAAGGCTTTAGGTTCCAAATATATGACATCTGGTTTGTCAAATTGTACCACTATACCACGTATTGCTTCAGTTCCCTATATATAAAACAATAAGTCAATCAACCTAATAATAACATGAAAAATGCACGGAATATATTACTAAATTAATAATGCATAATCACAGAAAAGGGGGAGAGTGTTACCCTCATATTTCTAAGCACAAGACTAGCATCCTCCAAGGACCATATCCTACTACGATTGCCAGCATCATTGGTTGATTCGCGAAAAACAATTTCCTTGCCCATTTCTTGAAGCCTATCATGCACCCTCAAGCGCCCTTTAGCTTCAGTTACCAATGATTTCTGAATAAGAGTTCTTATTCCGATTATTGGGTGAAGACCACTATTTTCTAAAATCTGTATGACATCATCCTTGCGCAAGCCATTGAAAAAGCAAGCAATATCTAAGAATATATTCTTCTCATTATCTCGCAGTCCATCAAAGCTCACTTTAAGTATATCAAAAAGGCCATCTAAAGGAATCTTCTTGAGTGCATTCTCCCATTCTGGTATGCTTCTTCCACAAAGAAATGAACCAAGCACTTTGATTGCCAAAGGAAGGTTTTGAGCAGAATTAATCGCCCTTCTAGAAAGCTCCAAATAATCTTCATTTGGCTGATCTCCTTTGAAAGCTATTTGAATAAAAAGTTGAAGGGATTCATCGTGACTTAAGAAATTCATTTCATACTGAGAAACTACACCATGCAACAATAACACATGTTGATCTCTAGTTGTTATTATTATTCTGCTCCCTTTGCCAAACCATCCTTCCTTTCCAGCCAAATTCTCAAGTTGGCTTATGTCACTCACATCATCAAGGACAAGTAGAACTTTTTTACTGCATAACATTCTTCTTATCAGCTTTCTTCCATCATAACAGTCACACACTTCCATTCTGATTGATTTTTTCAAACGGGAAAGAAGTTTTTGTTGCAGTGAAATTAAACCACCATCTTTTACAGATTCCTCTCTAACATTATGAAGAAATAAATGAACTTCATAGTTTCTGTGTATTCTCTCATAAACAATTCTAGCAAGAGTAGTTTTGCCTAACCCTCCCATTCCCCATATTCCTAGAAATTGAACTTCCTCCGATTTATTCGCTAGAAATGAATCAAAATCTGCTATTTTCTCATCAATTCCAACAAGTCCATCATCAACACCTTCATCATTTGAATCGAATTGTGGGTGATCAACTATTCTTGACCTCACATTTTCAGTAACTATTTCAATGAGTTTCGTTTCATACCTAAAAAGATAACAGAATAATAACATTAATATTAAGCGTAGCCCAAAGTCATGATAATTTTTTGAAGTCATAGAAAATACCAATTTTCAGAGCTCCATCCAGCCAAGTCAGCAACTTCTCTCAAGGCATCCCTCCATCTTTGTACCTTCACTTTGTCATGTGCAAATTTCTGTTCAAGCTTTTCAAAGGCTTTTGCAAAACTTCCTTTTTGATGCCGAACATCAGACGGATCTATGCCATAAAAGATTGGAAATATATGAAGGCCTAACTCTTTCTTACAATGAAGGATCTTTAGGAGTTCATCTAAGCACCATGTGGATGTAGCATAGTTTTCAGAGAGAACAATAATTGCTGACAAAGATTCTTCAATTGCTTGAAGCAAACTTGGTTTGATAATTTCTCCCCTCCCAAGTTCTTCCTCATCTCTAAAGGTTATCAGTCCATTGTGACACAAAGCAGCATATAAGTGGTCTGCAAAATTCTTACGGGTGTCTTCTCCTCGAAAACTTAAAAACACATCATACTTGTGTCTTCTATTTGAACGGCAATAGCTTGAAGAATATCCAACTTCTTGATCATTGAGTGCCATTGTGATACTTCAGAAGCTAGACCATTCAAAATATAAAAACAACCATCAGACTGTGAACCGACTTTAAACCCAATCTGAGATAGAACATAGGTTCTTGCACAGATTAGAGAGGGAAAGTATAATCCCAAAGTGCATTCTCAACTATATATAAATGCATTTTTATTATTAAATAAGGCAGAAATTGAGAAGAATATTAGATTAAACTATAAGTACTTTATACCTATTTAATTTTGATTATTTTGTTTTTCTTGATTGATTTTATGAATATAAGAATGAAATTATCAGCTCAAGTTTTTCTCATTTGACCGTTTTAGCCGTGTTCCTCTGGGCAAAACTACTTTTAATTAGTTTACTTGAAAAACAGAAAAGCATGGTTGTCTAATGTGATTCTTCATCAGGAAAATTTCAGTCAGCCCCCTCTAAGCAAACTTATTTTTCAACAGCCTCCAAAGATTTTGAAACTTCATTCCACCCTTTTGACCAAAATGAAAGTAAATGTTATGGGTGAAAAGACCATTATGCCCGTGTATGGGTTAAATGTCAAGGGTTGCATGAATAACTAAAATAAAGTGATTTACAATACAAATTCGGCAATTTACAATATGTATACGGGAACTCACAACTCTATTGAGGTTCTATAGAGAGAAAAGTTAAATGTCAAGAATTTCATGAACAACTGAAATAAGGCAATTTACAACACAAAGTAGGTGTTTATAAGAGGTACACAAGAATTCACAACTCTAATTGAGGTTCTGTGGAGAGAAAAGTTAAATTCCAAGGGTTGCATGAATAACTACGATAGGGCAATTTACAATACACATTAGGCGATTTATGTGAGGTATATGGAAATTCTTAACAACATACAAGATAATTAACAACAAAAATTAGACAAAAATAGGTTCTTGTGAATGGCCTAATTGATTTGTAGTTAGTTAAAGAAATAATTGTGAACCCCTTAATGCTCTAACGATCGAAGCAATTTTATTTCTTTTATTGCTTGCTATTTATAATTTTATGTACGTATTTCTTTTCCTTATAAATTTCAATTGTGTTGGATTGGAATTAATTGGATTGACGAAGCACAACTTAAGCTTGACAACTAAAATACTAAGGGTAAATTTTATTAATATGATTGGCTCTGTACTCCACCTTAATTATCATCTATAAAGTTTAATTAAAGAGTGGGGCAACACCAATTTTCATTGCAAATCATCTTATTTTATTTGTTTATGCAATTCTTAACACTTAATTTTTCTCTCCCCAGTACCTCAAATGGAGTTGTGAATTCTCGTATGCCTCTTGTAAATCACCTAATTTGTAGCGTAGATTATTTTATTTCAGTTGTTCATGCAATCCTTAACATTTAACTTTTCTCTCCATTGAACCACAAATAGAGTTATAAATTCCCTTATACTTCGTGTAAATTGTCTAATTTGTGTTGTAAATTGTCTTATTTTAGTTGTTCATTCATAGTTGAACACTTGTATTTGTTTTGTTATATATATTTCTCTTACATTATATGACTAAATGGATTGATGGCTTGGTTGTCATAATCTTTTTCGTATACCAAAGGATCACGGGTTCAAATTTCCCCTTGACCAATTATTTCAAAAATAAAATTCTCTAGCAACTAGAGCTCTAACCAGCCACTGGCACTTCAATGGCCAGCTGTCAGAGGTTAGAGCTCCAGCTGTTGACCAGCCAATGACACTCTAACGGCCGATTGTTGAAGGTTAGAACTCCGACGGTGGTTGATCTTTTTTAAAAGACTAACAATAGTAGTAGTAGTAGTAATAATGCAAGAGCATTATGGTCTTTGCACCCATACATTTAATTTCACTTTGGTCAAAAAGGGTGGAATGAAGTTTCATAATCTTCTGGGGGCTGTTGGAGAATAAGTTGGTTTAGAGGGAGTTGACTGAAATCTTCTCGTCTTCAAAAAGCATTGGAATCCAAGACTGGGGTAAAATGTTTAGTCAAGACATCTTTAGTTTCTTCCTTTTCTATTAACTCGAAACATGTGGACCCTAATCATGCAAGGACCATGAAAATAAATTAATTGTTTTAAAGCATAACAAACTTTGAGAATTGTACAGGAAGACCGTCTTTTGAAAGGAAAAAAAAGAACGAAAACTGACACCATTATTAGTTAATCAGATGGTATGAAATTGGAAATTACGTACAGTTAAGAAATAACAGATAAAAACTTATATGAGGAGAAATTTTGAAATGTTCCCTTACTAATAAAAACACATTGGTCCCGTTTTATATGAAATATTAAAAACAAGAGATAAGAATTGGAATTGAAACTGAGAAAATGCATTAAAACGTGTTTAATGTGAGTAATTGTTTGCTGCGTATAGAAGAGGCAAACCCATATGGAATCAGGAAATACCACCCAGTCCCACCTACATGCGCCAAATCTTAAGTAGCAAGCAATCCTCACATCAGATTCCCTAATTTCACCCACATGGATTTGTCCAATCTTACATAACAATCAATCACTCACGTTAAACAATCTTTTAATGTATTTTCTAAATCTCAATTCTAATTCTCACATCTCATTCCCAATACTTTACGCCAAATGGGACCATAGTTCATTTTCATGTCAAATTTATTATGTTACTCCACTACTACAAAAAAGAGCTTTTACGACGCTAATTTACGGCAGTTATTAGAAAAAACACTATAAAAAATATGACGGTGGTATTTCTGTAATTATAAGCATATTTTTTATGGCGGTTTTCTTAAAAACCGCAGTAAAAAATACTTTTAACGGTGATTTTTTAAATAACCACCATAAAAAATACTTTTGACAGCGGTTTTTTAAATAACCGTTGTAAAAAATCTATCAAAATTTTAAAATCCATCATGCGATAGTTTTTACTTTTCAGAGTTAGAGCTCATAATCTCCTATTACCGTCTTCACTCAATTTTCTCCCTCCTCATACCTTTGTTGACGTTTATCCTTTGCTTCTATCATCTCCACCATGTTCTTCCATCACCGTCACTATCGCTGTTGCCATCGCCATCGCCTCATCCTCTTCATTCTTATTTGTGAGTTTTTCACCTCCATTCTTTCTATAGATTTCATAGTTTTTGTGGTTTGATATGATTATTTTCTTTGGTTAAAAATATGATGTTTAATCTGGGTTTGAAGAGATTTGATTTTTATCAGATCTGAGTATTTGATTTTATCAGATCTGAGTCTTTGATTTTATCTTTATTAAATCTCAGTGGCTTCGATCTGGTGGCTAAAGGTGAAGCTAAATGGTGCTATTCGGCGAAAAAGAATCTACGTTTGCTCCATCAGAATGCTTTTAACTAGTGAGAGATTATTGGTTAATTGATTTTTAGACCCTTTCCTTTGAGGCTTTGTTCTCTCGTTCCCTGATCAACAGGAAAAAGGTAGACTAAAAAAAAAACTTTTCACGTCGATAGCATAGATGTTGCTCTCAAAACCATTGTAAAAAACTCATTTTAACTACCATTAAATGTTTTTTTTTGTAGTAGTGCTCGCATTTAAGCTTGGAATAAAAATTGAAAAACTATAAACACCTGCAAAGACTTTTCCTTGTGGTATGATATGGGCATGACAATGCATTAAAGAAAGGAAGAAAAATTATGGTCAAGGACCAACTTTGTAAATGTTCTTGTTCTTAAAGATCCTGAATAAGGAATTTTCTAACAAAAATATGTTGTTACTTGCAAATCAATTGATGTCAAAACCTATTAGAAAGTATGAGAACCAAACTTGATTTAAAATTTAGTAATTTCAAGCTTCTTTTTATGGGATTCTCTCTTCCCCTTATTCTTGACAATTTCCATATAATCAAATAGCCTCTTTCTCCTTGTTTGATAGTGTCAATTTTCGTGGATATGGATTACTTTGTGAAATTTTGGAAGAATATAGCATCTTCCATCAGATGGAACTCATAGTTGGAGATTCAGGGCCAGCACGGGAGTGAATTATTGGTGAAGGATTTTCATGGTAGGATCTGAGCAAACGACTTCATAGATAGATTCCAAAAACAATTATACGAACCAACTAGACCATTCATTCAAAAATAAATATATATCAAAACGAACCAAACAATTTAGATTGGCTACACACGCGACAGAGAGTACAAATATAGTTGGAAGGGGTGTGTCTTATGCTTTGAATATGGAAACCCTGATGAAAGCGAAACTAGGCGAAACAAGAATGAAGAGAAACAAAGAAACCCGATTCAAATTCTGAAACGAATGAAGTAAATAAGAGAGAAAGTTACTTACTCAAGTTCTTGGAAGGTATACAGGGATGATCTGATGCCTGAGAAGAAGGAAGAAGATGAGGTAACAATAGCAGTAGTGTCCTCTTTGATGAATTGTGACTTGCTGACTTAGTGGGGAAGATGCTTTAAAGTGATGGAATCCTTTAAACTTATTTAATGGATGCGGGCCCGTCAAAAAGTATACGTATTAATTCATCCATTACCATTAAGTCTTCTTCTTCTTCTTCCTGAAAAGCATACCGTTTTGTCTTTTTAAAGAAAAAACATATTTTGCGCGTAAGATCAGATAAGAGGCAGCCACTCACTCCTCGTCTTCCCGAAAGGGATGTGTTTAAATTCATATAAGTGCGTCTCTATGTGTATATTTTTTTTTGATTTTAAATATAAGACTTATTTTGTAATATAATTTATATCATAAAATAGATTTTATGTTTACTATAAAAAGAGTATTAGTTTTTTTTTGTCCCATTTGGACGCAACTTACAATGTGAATGCAGCATTTTCCAGAGACTATTGTACCAGCAAACAAAAGTGAGGATGGCATGGCCACGGGAAAGGTGACTGCTTTGCATTTTCCTGGCCCACACGGTTTACTTTATATTCCCGCCATTTTTCTATGTCCTTCTCTTTGACCCAACTTACATCAAGACTCCACCACTCTTTCCTCCTTCCTTCGTGGAACTGGTAAGTATATACGGAACAATCGCTCGTTGAAAATTTTATTGATGAAAATGTGAGATATATCGAGGCAAGATCTTGGTTGGACTAAACATCTTTGGTTTTTCTTATTTTCTTATGCTTCCTATTTGTTTTTCAACGTTCTTATTTCATTTGTATGCTTTTGTGTTTTAGCAAAGAATGTTACATTCATTGTGTCAGTTTGTGATCGGCTTGGCAAATGCACAAAGTTAATGCTTTTAAATAAATATAAATTTAAGAATCTCAATTAGGAATGTTTGTGAGATAATTAGAACAAGACGGCCTTTCTGTCTCGTATTCTTTCCTATTCTAATAATATCTTATCATGTTATGAACGAGACCGGACATCTCTTTTTTTTTTTTTTATTTCAAAACCAAACATATTTGGGATATAAGAAATTACGGTAAAAATTCTACAAAAAATATATTAAAAATTCGCTCAAAAAATAAAGTAATCAAAAATTTGCAAAGAAAAAGGTTTTCTTTTAAATGACAGAAATATATCAATTCAAAATATCTACTAAAAAAATTATATAAGCTATACAAAAAAATTTGCAAATTGTAGAAGAAGCAAAACAATACTCCTCCTCTAGTATTTAATATGAGGCCTATTTAACTAATTTAATTATATTAATAAAGTTAGGTAAGTTAGTTAATTATAAGAAATATGATATATTTTTTCTAAAACATTATAATCATTTTTCTTAATATCCTCCCTTCCTCACTTACTTGATTATGGTTGAGAGAGTATGATAATTTAGGAAAAGTGGATAAATATGAGAAATATGTCTTATATTTAAGATCAAAATTAATTTAACAATTAAGTCCTATATTAAGGATTAGAGAAGTAGAAAATAGGGATCATTAGTGGAATTGGTATTTATAATTATATACGGAATGACATGAAATGCATGGAAACGGATCAATGTTTACCTAATTAAAATCTTGAAAAAGTTGTGGTTTTTATATTTATTTAAATAAATATAAATTTAAAATGTCTACATTAATTTCACGCGATTTATTTTTATCTTTTGCAATCTTTTATTCTCATCTTTTCTTATTCATTCTCGGTGACCGAATTTAATCACAGAACTGGTTTTCTTTTCTTTGCTTTACTCTTTTTACCCCTCTATTTTCATTTTCCTTACCATTCATTATAATTTTAACTGTTGAAATTCAATATTTTATAAAATCATTATTTTGAATTTATATGAAAAAAGTATAAATAAATTTAAACTACTAAATTTAATTTGAATAATTCATAACTAAAGTAAAAAGAGAAAAATAAATTAATTAAAATAAAGAGAGAAGCCAATTCCAATAGTTACATGGCAGACACAGTTTATGTTTCCTCCATCAGCACCACTCTTTCCTCCTCCTCCATCGCAAGAACAAAAGATAGCCATAATATAAGAATTAATTGAAAATTTGATTTAGTTCTTAATAATACTCTAATATATTTTGTCTCCCATATTCATTTATTTTTCTCCCAAAATAGTCTTTATGGAAATTACACATGTCAAAAGGTTTTTATTCTAATGTATATGATTAACAAAATATTTTGAAGAAGACAATACACATTTATTATAAATAACTAACTAAACTAATTTTTTAATATTTATAAATTAGTTATCTAGTTCTTATATTAAGGAGTGGAAGTAGTAATTAAAAGAAGTAAAACAGAAAATATAGGAATGGCTGTTAATGAATAAGTAAAGGATTGAGTTCAAATATTGCCATGGTGCCTGAACATAGACATCTTTCATAAGCTCTACAACGTGCATGCCTTTGAAATATTAGAATGGAAGTCCAAAAATTCAAGACGCCTTCACCATTAACCTAATCAATTGTAATATGGTATATTCGATTCTAAATATAAAAATTAAATAAAGGGTTTATTTAATTTTTAATATAAGACCTCAACAATCCACTTTTTCTTCTAAATTTATAATTTTTCTCATCAATATTCCTATTAATTACATGTGGTAGGGAAATTTTTATTAATGACAGCTATAATGCACATAATTAAAAAAAGTATTATAAAAAAATCAACTTGTAAAGCTGCTTTTTCTTCTAAATTTATAATTTTTCTTATAAATATTCTTATTAATTACATATAGTAATGAAATTTTCTTAAATGGG